GAAATAATTGTTTATTTAATTATATTATAAAATATTTAAATTATATTTTATTATAGGAGTCTATTAATATATGGGCGTGAAGATTTATAAAAATATTTAAAAGATTTTCAGCTTCACAACTAAAACTTTCAAAATTATACTCATGGATATATCATATAATTTCTTGAAAATTCAGATAACAATAGTTATACAATAGTTTTTTAAATATATCTAATCTAATTATTAGCAAGTAAACAATATTGAATTTAATAATTATAATTATTTTGATTTTTTAAAGAGATAAACTATTTATTTTTTTAAAAAAAATCATAAAAGAAAAAATTTTCTAAAGCTTATAATTTAAGAAAAGTTATTTATTACTTCTTAATATAGTTCTTGAAAAAAAGAAGTTAAGAAGTTAATTAGCTAAAGAAATAATAAAATAAATTACTATATTTCAATAAAGAAAAAAAAATCTAGAAAGAAAAATCTTAACTTTAGCAAAAAAAAAAAAATAATAATAAAAGGAATAAAAGGAATATATTAAAAAGAAGAGTTTATAGAAAAAAGAAGAAAAAATAATGGAAAAAAGAAGTAAAAAAAAAAAAAACAATTCAAAAATTTCTTAAAAAAAACTTTAAAATAAAAATATTTTTGTAAAATTAATTTGTACACTAAAAAAATATTTTTGTAAAATTAATTTATATACTATAAAAAAACATTGTTGTAAAATTAATTTATACACTATAAAAAAAAACATTTTTGTAAAATTAATTTATACACTAAAAAACATTTTTGTAAAATTAATTTATACACTAAAAAACATTTTTATAAAATTAATTTATACGCTATAAAAAACATTTTTATTTATACATTATAAAAAACATTTTATAATTTTTTTATTCAAAAACTTTATATTAATCTGTCTATACTTCATAATAAAGAGTAATTGATAAACCGTAATAGAAATAAAGCAATGTACTATGCCTATAATAACGGTGAAAACTCCTCTCACATCCAATCAATAAAAACAAGGTAGTAGAGTTACTTATTATATGATCTAACTACTAATTATATGATGTGACATATTACTGCGCATAAACCACCCTTTGACGTATAAGTTCTCATAACTCGTTCCTTTAGATTAGCTCTCGTTAGCTGATGCAAAGGTTGTTGATAAATTAGGTTACGCTTGTCTTTTATTCTTCTTACGAACCATAGTATCTTAATATATCTAGCGGAAAATTCAAAGATCGTTAATATTTATTAACAGTTAAAAAAAGATCCCTCACCTATTGTAACGAACCATAGATATATTTATATTGATTTAAATGCTTCACCTGTCTTTCGTTTTTCTTGAGCGTATCTAGGAACATCGGAAATATCAGTTAATAATTTAACTCTTAATAAATGAGGTGACGAGAATGGGAAGTATTTTACTCTACTTAGGTTAAATAAGAAAGCGCTATATATCGGATAATAGAGAAAGAATTTTTAAGTTAGGATATTGCGTGATTCCAAGACTTAAAAAAGTTTTTCGAAATAGGGAAACTACTTATAACTTAATATCGACCGTTCGAAAATAAAAAAAAAAACTATACTTATCTAAATATTTTGCCGGTAATGAGTAACGATTCCAAGACTAAGAGACCGACAGACCTAATAACTCTTAGCAACGAGCCTGGGAAGACAAGAGACCGAGAAACCTAATAAACTCGCCCTCGGTGAAGACCAAGAGACCGAAATACCTAATACTCTTTTACGAGTAGCCCCAAACTCTTTAACTGTTATAAGGAAGGTACATAGCCGATTCCTCATCTAGAATCAGTAGACCTTGTACAGATGTAATTTAAAGAGTTTGAAAAGACGTTCCTTTTGGATTTATTAGGAATCACATCTCCCAGGCAACACCGAGGTGCAGACTCTTACTCGGCTACACATCGACAAATGTGCAACCCTCGGATGCCTGCGCGAGAACTAAAAAAAAAAGAATAAAATTAAATAATCTTTACATACAGTATATCTTTATTTATATCATATGATTACTGATCTACATCGTGTTTGTTTATCTTATCAGTTATTATTAGACTGACACGCGTATAGCCTCATTTCAAATTATTCTTTCATTACAGTCTAGCATATTTCCTGATTTGAACTCGTGTAACATATTATTGCAGATCACATAAAAAAAAGAGTTTGAGGTATGTAGTTCCATAATCAGCGAAGGTTTTTTATAATCAATTCATTCTCAGAAAGTATAACTTTGGCAAAATTGGTTTTTTGAGTTGTTTTTTATAATTAGTAATGCTAAAATCAATTTCTTTATACTAGTAAACAACTACTAGCAAGAAATTTATTTTATGCTTTTATATTTTTAATTTTATTATATTATTGCCAAGAATTAAAAAAATATAAAACCAAAAAATTACAAATGAAATAACATGCAAATACCAAGAAATTAAAATTATGTCTTGAAATTCAAACTTATTTGAAGAATTATTTTTTATATAAGAGATATTACAATTATTTTATTGTTCAAAATTATTTATAATTAAATTTTTTAAATCAAGATTTTACTATAATTAGTAAGAAGCAAACTAGTCATCAGGAAATTTTTTTGGTGAAGATCTTTAGAGATCTCCACCCCAAAAAAATTTTCGAAAATTTCCAGAGAAATCTTCAAAAATCTTCAAAGGTTTTTAAGAATTTTTAATATAGAATTTT